ACTACTTGGTACAATATAAAACTCTTCTCAGCTTATAGGTAACAAGTAAACAAGTAAAGAAAACACTTTAACAACAAAAGGTACTTGAAAGATGTAGAAACGTAGAGAAAATTAAGTTAAATATTGGAGCACAGCCAGAGCACGTCAGTCAGAAGCAAGCCAGTCTATCACATCAAGTCATATGGAGTTTCCGTTTCTCAATGTCAAAGAATTAGAGCGCGGAAGATAAGGCGTTGCGCCGCCCGGCATTGCGGGTTTGTGTAGGGCGTGGGCAAAGAAATAAGCTCATTGTTTCGCTACCCTGAATGGAAAGTCGAACCTGTAAGAGTGCGTGTTCCTTCGGCACAAATTCCGTGGAGATGGCGATTTGCGTGGTCAAATGTGTGGAATGTTTTGTTCAATTACTTCCAATACATGATTGATTTTTTTACAACACACATAAGAAGTGAATATTTATATATAGAATAAAATGAGGCCATGTTTCGACCTGCTCATGTTTAAAGGACCTTTTTACGACTTAGCTTACGCTTTGCTATGCAGATCTATGAAATTTTCAATGACCCCCGTTCATGACAAGGCTCCGGTCTTTGGACAACACGATTAACAAAACTTTCTTGCGTTCTTTGAATGTATAATTTCAAAAGCATTTTAACCCAAAATACATTCTCAAAGAAGTTTATTAGAAATGTAAAAGAATTCAAAACCTGTTATATGAAAATGACTTGCAATCGAGGAGGCATAATAAGCAATTGATGCGAAAGTAATTGGAAAAAATATTTTTTACAATTTCTTTCTCACACTCTCAAACAATCGCGAACTTTGAAATAACGAAAATGAATGCCCTTTATCGTGCACTCTCACTATTTTTCGCTTTCGTTCACCAATCTCCCAACATCAGGTATTAATTCGGGAACCGAGAAACTCTAAACAATATTATTGGTATAATAATTATTTTTACTTTCTCGTTACGTCTACTTACTTTCTCAATTATTAAAGGTATAATTCTTTTTACTTTCGCATTACGTTATGTAATGCTGATAAAAAAACTACGAAACTACGAAAAAAAACTACAGAAAACTTTATTATAGACCCTTGGTAATGTAAAAGTAGATAAATCCATTTGCTAAATTAAGAAACTAATTCCTCTACGACGTGGCGTAGACAGAATCCACATTTTGTGTGTCCTTGATATCGACAACTGACCGACTTACCGACCGACCAAACCGTTCAGCCGATTTTTTCTAAAACTGATATTTTCCCAATCGATCTGGCTGAGGTCGCGGCCCCTTGAATTTGAAACTGATATTTCAATTTTGAGGATACTTTACATGAAGCCTCTAGGACCTTTTACAAATTTCAAAACAACCGGTCCATCGTTTATGATTTATTTTTTATAATGAAAAGAACGTGGAAGAGAATGGGAAGGTCTCATGTTTGTTGAAAACCCTGATTTTTCGAAAATTGTGAAGTTTAAAATGTTTCCTGAGTCTTCTTACAACTAAAGTATTAAAGATGAAATTTTTACTCTTGATGAAATCTGTTCCTTAAAGATAGACGTTGAAGTAAGGTCATGTACAAGTTTTCGAAAATTTGAGTTTTCGAGTAATTTTGCAAGAAAATCCGAGCTAGAAAGTTCGTACTGTTTTAGTACCACTTGTTTACGTTAACAAGGAATTTGAAATAAATATGGAAGCTAATCATATGCACAACGAGCGAGTTTCAACAAGCTACACTTTCTGCTCGCATATCTGGCATTGTTGATACATTCCTATTGACGCAGTTAAACGGCAATACTTTTCCAGCAGGTGCTGAAGAAATATTTCATAAATTCTGGCTTAACTAGGGGAAAAATGTCCTGTCTGAAAAATCTTTTCATCACTATTCAGTAAAAACATATGGCACAAATTATAAGAATTGTTTCTTGGAAGAAGTTCGAAATAAAAATAGTTCAATAAATCTACGGCTTCCTACAGAATTTTTACCCGCAAATTCTCCTTTCAGAACATATGCGTGAAAAAGTATACTTAACAGCTATCTATTGCACGGAAAGTTACTTTGAGCTACGCGTATCGCAAAAATACTGAAAAGTAAACTAGTCTAGGAGTCATTTAACTTCGCTGCTGCTTTCCATAATGCGAATGATCTCAAAATTATATTTTTCATAAAACGTTCAGTATTGTAAAGACGCAATTTTAGTGAAGGAAACTCTTCTTGCACACTATTAAAACTTTTTTAAATGTTAGTTGGTTTTCTTGAGATTGGTTTTCTTGAAATTATTACTCTCGCAACCTTTCTTCAACGATGGATTGAAGAAATGTGGGTAGAATGTAGGTACTAGTTACGAAATCGGCCACTAGATTATATAAAGCAATGCCAATCTCTAGAGAATTAGTTATGGCTTCGCAAGTTTCTCAATAATTTGCGTTCTAACTTTCCCAGGAGTTCGAGATATCAACTGTGAGAGATCTTTATCTGATCCGGTCATGCCTTTAGATTTTTCGGAGAAAATAACGGTTAAACCTTCTCTTCAAAAGAGAATTGTTTCTATTTCGCGTCAGGGTCGACTGTGTTTGTAATGATGTCATCAGTTATTGCTGCGAGTTGTTACCTTAAGCTGTTTATTGTGCCAGAGAGAGGTAAGCAAGGTCACGCTGAAAACAGTTGCGCGAGAAATATTTAGGCATTTTCTTTGCATACACATAACCTCCAAATTGTTTATTACCATGGCATGACAATTCGAAGGAAGTACTTTTGAAGAACTGCGTAAACCGCCAGAAATAATATTTTGAATGAAGAAACAATACAAAGTTACACTAACCCCGCAGATTATCTTACGTGGAAAATAAGTTTTAAGCGGGGCTGCACATGTGTCACCGACGAGATGTCACCTACTCTCCGTGTCCGGCAACAGTATTGACCTCTGTGTTAGAATCGCCGAGAATGTGATCTTTTTCTCAACCATTAGACCTGCTCTATTTACACACGGTAGGAACATTTAGTTTTAGATAAGTAACATTCAGGTTAAAAACAAATTTACGGTTTTTTCCACTCTCTTTATACGGAGTTCACCTGACCGCACGAGATCGGGAAACATAAGCGAGGATCGAGTATCAGGAGACAGAGCATCGTTTTTAAGTAGTTTCAATGACGGTTGTACTGCAGAACGACGGCTTCAAATTTATTTCGGTTGGCAAATCTGATTTAATAAGGAAACTTCTAGAACAAACGTCAATTCAGATTGGAAATTATGCGTTTAATATATACAAGGTTTTTTATGTTAATCGCATTGCCCCTGTCACACACTTTGGACACGTATAGAGAAGCGTGAAAATTTTATCTTTAAAGAGTTATTTTAGTATAGTATCCGTTGAAAAATAAGGTGGAACACATTAGATGTTCTATGTGAATCGTGTTGGCAGAAGGCCGGAGCCTACCGGGAGAGGTGGATCAGGGCATCACTGCGGTGCCTTTAATCGGGAGGTCTTGACATTTGAGTCTCTACGGTGGCAACAGTTTTGACACTAGACGATGAGCTCTGTCGCTGTCTGGAGGAGAATTCTAGCAGCCGGCCGCTCTGATCAGTATTCTTCCTTTTTTCCCGATCAATACCAGGCGAATTCCGGAGCAGTACCCTAACAATTTGGCCACGGACCGCGCGCGATCTTTCCTCCCCATTCCTTGTCCTATCCCACACCTGACACACACTAACACATGACTACAATACCACACATGCCGAGAGATCGGTCGGGAGCATAGTACTTGCCCCGGCTGGAAAGGTGCTTCACTGGTGGGCGATACCTAGAGGATGAAAACTCCTCTAACCGAGGGTAGGCAGGCGACGAATCTCGCCACCCAGCGGGGCAACATCACCGCCACCTCCCGAGCAAAAACATGCACTACAATTACGGTACCAATGACCTTCTCTGTTGAGGCGCCCAGCATTACTAGTAACTAATCCATCCACAGCCTCATCATCAACTTCGACGCGCGCTGCGAACCTCGCTGCCCGCTGGCAGGTCACACTGCGCCCGCACGAGCTACTTGTCCGTCTAGGAAGCCCTGAGCTGCTAGGAGCACGGACAACTTCCTCTGACTCTGCTCTCACTCCCCCCTCCAAATCTAAAATCGGGATCAATCAGTAACAGGGAAGGTAAATTCAAAGTGCGCTGTAAACTAAACGAAGAAGGATTTTGATACGGAAGCATTTTTGTCTGATTTGTATGCAACAACAAGATTTGAATTATCGTAATATTCTTTACTACTACTTGCTTAATTTTAATGTTTATTTTCTTTTTAAATTATGCCTTGTATCACGAATACATTTTGAGCACAAATTCTTTGCTCGATTTATTTTTGTTTGCCATTTTAAATTACAATTATGTTAATTGTTTTATAAAGCAATAATTTGAAATAAGTCTGTAAATTAAACATTCTCTCTTACGGGTTGACAGCATTTTCACAGAAAATTATCTATCTGTTAAACATCCTAACCTGGACGTAATTAATTTTTAATACAATTCTTGCACTTTTAAGGAAACGCATGATTGTTAACTAACTTTTCTAAACTTATATAAATGGTTCAGGTATCAAGTAAAGTACCAAAACCCCGGAGTAATTTGTTCAAACCTTACGTTTAAATCCCGCGTCAACCGCTCTGCAAGCAGTGCCCTCGAACATTGAGGTGGTATCTTTGCCCGCGACCTTGACGTGCCAGCTTTAAAGTGCGAGGTTATACATACGACGCCACTTCGTATACACGGTTATCGTTCACCATGTTCGCGCGTAAATGAGCCGATTCCTTCACGTTCAGTACGATAAGGAACAAGAGCCCAATTTTACATCATTTTTTTACGTAATTATATCACAAATTAATCAAACAGGTACTCAAAAGCTGACCAAAACAACCTAATTTTAAATCTATTGGAAATGTTTGAAATTTAAAATCTCAAAATACCAAATCGCAAAGATAAAAAAATAAGACGCATTTTAGATATGCTCACCTTTCCGGCATTTTAAGAGCACAAGAGCACAAGATTCCATGAGCCCAAGCACTATATATCTTCGGAATCGCCCTGCTTCTCCTCATTGCTCCCGGCGTCTAAAGTGATGAAAGCAGGCTCTCGGCCGACGGAAACCCTTCGTGGCATGTGATTGGCTGCAGACGATTCGCAGCACGAACACACCTGGAACCACAAGGCAGATGCACACACTAAAATTTATGAAAGGAATTAGAAGAACTACCGTGTTATTAGTAAACGTAATTGGTAATTTGTCCTTATTTTAAGTTTATATAGTTTTGATCGATCGGTTTCTGAGGCTTTACAAAATGTAGAAATTTTACTTTCGATTAGGTGTAATGACGGTTATTTTGTTATCCGTAGCAATGTTCTAAATTCTATCTGCAAATATATTATAATGTAAATAAACCCGGAACTTTTTTCGAGTTAATATAATTCTAAATCTAGTAGTATTTTCGTGATATCGACTGAAAGCATAGATCGTGAATTAAAACATCAAAAACAAACCTATGGAGCAACTATTGCGTTATTGTATAAATAATATCAGTGGGAACATCATTTTAGACGCGTGTCAGATATAGCAGTAATGCTATGTGGAGCTGAGAGCGACGAGGGAGCGAGACGAAAAGGGGCCATATGTGACGTGACGTGACGTGACGTGACGTGCGTGGCGTAACGTGGCGTGACGTGGCGTGGCGTGGCGTGACGTAGCGTGACGTGACGTGACGTGACGTGACGCGACCAGGCTTGGTGGAGTAGAACAGGCAGAACGTCGGGGTGGAGTGAGACACACAATTGACACATTCATTTTTTATTCATATCCCTCTGCTTGTTCAATATATATTTCTTCTTGTAATTCTCCATACAAAAATGCTTTTCGAACATTTTACTACTTTTTTAATCAATGTTTGCAAAATTATATTTTTTTCAGGTCTTATTGTGGGAGCATGTATTTCTGCATAATATTCACCTTGTTTTTACTGAAAATAACATCTACAGTCTTGCTCTTATTTTCTTTTATTTTCCTTGAGTGTTCTTTAATTAGTATATCCACTTACTTTTAATTACCTTTTTATTACTTGGTTTATTTTTGAAGTTCCATACATTCAGTATATGAATTCTTTCAGTTTTACGTTTCCTTGCTTGTAACCAGTCCTTTTGAATTGAAAACATTGCTTCTTCATAAGTACTTGGAATTATTACTTCACTTATATGTTGCATTTCATTCAGCTCGCGTTTTATTCTTTCTTCTCAATGTTCATATTTGATTCCTAATATTTTTATTCAACTGTTGTTACCTTAGTTTACACAATGTTATTAACTACATATGTGGTAATATAATCTTCACTTCAGTATTATGAGTTGTCTCTTTTACAGCTATTTCATTGATATTCTCATTATTATACAGTTATTTTCTTTTAAATAATGAATAAGGCACATTTTTGTTTTCAGTTTTTTTACAGTATCTTCTGTTTTTTTATTACATCATGTTCAGGAATACATATATTCTGCATACTTTTTTGTAGTAAGGCTACCCTAAAACTTTATATTTTGCAGCCTTTTTGCTAATTTTCGTTGTTTTCTTCTATTATAGACATAAGTTTCATTGATAAATATTTTAAAAGAACTTATATGTGATTTACCTCCTTTACGTATTTCATAAAATATTTTGCCTTTTCCACATATAAAATATGTTTTTAATATAAGCTTCTATTTTAATGCCTTTAATTAAAAATGTGAAGGTAATTCAGCATCTATCAACATAGTTCTTATAATTTCCATAACATTCGTATTTTCTGCTTTTCCGTTACTTTCAGGCGTAAAGGTTGTAGTGCGTTCATGTTTTATAACTTTGTCTTTAAGCTTTTTTCTAAATTATAAGCTAAGTATTTTCCTCCAATCTCACTACGATTTTTAAAAACTTTTATCTGTTTGTCTTTCCTGTCTTATTATAAGATGTTTCAACATTTAAATAGCGTCATTTTTCTTGGTAATGAGGTAAAAAAGTAAATATTCTTCCACTATTAACATCAATTACAGTTAATACATATTTACTTCTATCCATTTCTTCTTCTGATGATCCTATAAAAAATCTGTGTGTCAAAATTCTAATATATGAGGTGAAGTATCTTGTTTTATAGAATTATGACTTATCCTGTCCTCTGACTTCACATACAAAATTCATATGCCTTACAATTAATGTTTATAATTAACAAAAAAAAATTGCAATCATTTTTTTTCTTTTCAATTGATAGTTCATATGACCCATTCTTTGTCAAAAATTATATTAATTCAACGATTTTACATTTTCTATTATTATTTTACATTCTGCTTCATATTTATCTCCTTACAATTTTTCAGTTTTTATTGTTCTATTATGATCATCGGGCATAAAAGCATCATTTCTACGAAAAATTACATCAATTGTTTAACAATTGTTACATCAAATTGCATCAATTACATAAAAAATTGTTTGCTATTGCTTGAAACTCAAATTAAATTTCAACTTCAATTTGGAATTAAAGAACATTTTTAAAAACTAAATCATTACTGTTTTCATTCATGTATATTAATTTCACACCTTAATTTCAAATGCCTTAATAAAAGAATTATCTTTTAATTGAATGCCTTTATCTTCATTTGTATACGATATGTAAATATAGTTTTATATTTACACACATGATTTGTAACATGAATATCCAATAGCCACGTAGTGTTATTACTGCTACGAATAATGGTCAAAATATTGTTTTGAAAATATTTGAGTGTGATATAACAGTGTGATTGAACTGTTGTTTTGATCAATTTTGCATTGCGAATCATCATTCCCATTACACATTTGTTGTACCAAAAAATTTACAGAAAATGGAAGTCCGATCAAAAATATGGTGATAAGTTGCAATTCTCTTCAATCTGGGATGGTTTGGTTCGTAATAAGTTTTTATATTGGCATTTAATTGAACTAGTTATCTCATAGAAGTTTTATATGCATACAATTATATTTTACATCATTAGTAACCGATATATTTTAAATATTGCTATTCATTTCCCACAAAGTCGTTACCTGTAAGGCGCTTATCTACAGAGAGGATCATTCAGTGGTGGCCATAAGCAGTCACCGCCCCTACAGTCACAACAGCTTTTATGCATCGGGGAATTACTCGATATTCAGATATTAAAGAGGAAATCTTATTACAAATTCGATGACCCTAAGCCTTGTATATTTTGTCAAATTTGTGCTCGCACATTAATTATGTAGAATTAAAAAGGCAAAATATAAGCGCACGTATAAGAGTATACGTAAGTGACCGAAGAGGTATGAATGTTTGTTTTCGTTGTTGCATGTCCATGAAGATTTAACGGGAGAGAAAATTTCACTCAATTCCCAAATATCTTGGCGAAACTGATTAATAATGACAATACTAATATAACCTGAATAAAAGAAAAATAATTCGAGGTAACTTTCTTACTTTACACGTACTTACAATTGGCTCATTTTTTACTAAGTCATTTAGTCAAGAGATCGTAACTCATGCGTCATTGCCTGCCATTCACTTTCGGTGCAAAACTTTCTGAATTGCTTTGGAAATAGAGGAGAAGTAAAAATGTAGGCGAGTGCATGTGTTGTGGATCTACGACGAGTGACACTCCCAAATGTTATTTCTTTTTAAATTCTATAATGCGTTGATTATTGGATAGATGCCGTCTCTTCTATGCTACAAGTATAGCATTACAATGTATATCGCATTCAGAATGTCGAAACATTTGTAACAGTCACATTCTATCTGAGGTGGGCTAAACGTTGGGATCCAGTGCAGTTTGTATCTCTTAAATTTCAGTTAAGTAAGAATTCAATATTTCATCATTAGGACTGTTCATATTGGAAGTTTTTTAAACGTCAGTGGTAGTTTCATGTTTCAAGACCTTTTGGATGTTTTTACCCCAAAATTGACATTATTTGAATCGCTTTTTAGATCTTTCTCTTTGAGCACGGCTCGACCTTAAGTACATTACAGTGTTATTTTAATATTCGCCAATGTGAGTGCAATGAGAGCAACATAGTGGAAGATGAACAAGAGCTTTATAAAAGGTACGGGGCCATCTTTGTTCCCCTGAAAAGGACCATATGAACAGAGAATGATCAAATATACAATATATACCCTAGACTTGCCTCAAAAACTGAATATATTCCAATACAAATTTGCAGAAAATAATAGTAATGTATTGTAAATAGATGTTCATTAATTTTTAACGATAGTAAAATGATAATAAATTTTTAAATATAGAGAATTTTTCTTAAATTATTTTGCAATTTACTTAGGGTCCTATGCAGACCCTCGCCTCTGTAGTATCAGGATTGTTATAAACCAAAAGTGCCCAACTTGCAATGTCTCAAGGACCACAAGTAAAACGTTTAATGTGATTTCAGGCCATATTTTCATTACTCGAGCGATCCCACCTGATTTCCCCGAATTGTTGACCTCGTCAATTTTCCCGGCTGCTCAGAAACGAGACAGAGGGAAATGTATGCGTGCGTTATGTCAGGCCGTACCATGCATAACGCAGTGAATCACACTAGGATGATTTAGAATTCTTGAATTTACAAGAAAAAAATTCTTAAATCTAAACTTAATCCATTTTTACATTAAATGTTGTGAGCAGGCGCGTGCGCTAGGGGCACAATATTCTCGCCCAACATGGATGAAAGAGACTTTCACTTTTGACTAAATTACCTATGGCAAGCTGCAATAAATGGCATCGGACGCATTCGGCTAGCGGGACTCCAGTTGGACAATCTTGTTATAAACGATCAGACTTACTCTCTTATAAATCAAATATAATTAGTATAATTCTCGTTACTGCTAGTATGGGGTGAAGGGTGGAGAGTTTATTAGTAAATTAGACACTAGAAAAAGAAAATTTGTAATATTTTCAGGAAAGTTGTCACTTGTTTGTTTTGACTATCACACGTACAAATTATTATTTTACACAATACGTGCTACCACAAAAACAGTTGTTAGGTTTCCAGTATCACGTAATGAATATCAACTTGGAAACAGCAAATAAAAAATGGCAACGCTGCGCGACACCTGGTGTCTCCCTTCCGGACGAGAGCCACAGTTGCAGGAGAATCGAGAGACTTTCCAAATGGGGTGGCAATTTGCGAGCGCGGCGTTGGCAGACTTGCTCTCCCGCGCACGGGGCGCCCAGCCCGAGGTGAGTCAGCGCCCCTCGTCGCCACCCTCGCTGCCATGTTTGCCCCTGCCACGGCCGCGCGCCGCACGCCGCACCCCGCCGCCCCCCGCAACCACCCGATACCGCCATTCCCGCGAACGCCCCGCCGACGCCCCGCCGACGCACCCGCATGACGCCCCCAGCACCCCACCAGTGCCCTCGCCCCGCCCCTGCCACACCCGCGTCCTCCACATAGCGTCATTCTACCTGCCGCCACCAGCTTCCGGCTCTTGCCACCGCTGCCCACCACCGCCGTCCCCGCCCCTCCCCCGCCACCCCCACATAGCGGCCACCGGTC